CCTCTCTCCTTCTTCACTCAGCAGTCTCCAGTGAATCCAGCCACAGCAAAAAACCTGCAGCCGAGCCAGAGATCGGCTCGGCCCGGCCCGGCCGGAGCCCGGAGAAAACCCCCTCCACAGGGGCCCCGCATGGCCTGGGCAGGGAACGGGAGGCCTGGTGCTCCGCCACCCTTCCCAGCCAGGAAACAAAGAGAACCAAGAAAGCTCTGGTTTTACACTTTAAGGTAGGGTTCACAAGTTGATCCCACTTTTCAATGGCCTAAACTGCTGTCAATTCTCAGCAATGACCGATAATTGGTCAGGAGAAAAGACGCCAGGCAGATCCCAGCAACTTAAACTTTCTTAAAGGTAAAGTAACTCCATGACAATTACCTACAAAGAATAATTTAAAATTATTTTCCTTTCTCCCAAAATGCAGAACCGTCAAAATAGACCATTTTATTGGAAATATTTTCTCTATCAGTGCTATTTTACTCTTATAAGTTGAAGACACTGTTCATATATTATGATTCCTGTAAGCTTTGTTTTAGTTATTATTTTCAGGTTTTTGTCCGTGTTAACTCTGAATTACAAAGGCAAATTTCCTCCTGTTTTCCAGTACTAAAGTTACAGGCATCAAGAAATAAACACCTTTTTCTCAGGCCAGCTGCCTGAGAAATTTTCTTTGGAACCAGCTGCCTGAATCCTGAGGGAGCTGGATAATTGTAATACCTCAGCAGGATATTTAGCAACCTGTCACCTGAGCCACTGGGGACACAGGTGCCTCCAGGTCCTTTAACCCTTAGACTCTGCTCTCTGCTCATGAGCAAGGTATTCAGTGCTGTCACACCATATGTCAGTCTGCTCAGGAGCTGCAGATGTGGGGGTCAGAGCAGCCCTGTCTCTCTAGATCAGCTCAGGGCAACCAAGGATCCTGAGTATGCCAGCAATCCACGTCCCAGTCCCAGCACTGTCTGTTCAGCAGCCAAATGGTCTTGGGGTATGCAGGTCAGCGAATGTGGAACAGCTCCTGTGGTCCCCAGGGAAAACTCCTGAGTTGTTCAGTTAGCCACAGGAAAATCTGTCCTGGATGGAAATGCTGCTATCAGGAGCATTTGAAGTAGAACATAAAGAGAAGATGCACCTTAATGGAAGACTAACCCCAAATTGGATTTGGAAATGGACTGGGGAAAGGACATGAGGTGGAAGATGGGTTAATATAATTTTTCTGGTTTGTTCTCTTTAAAGCAAACAGACAAAAATATGATATAAACATCCTTGTTAGCAGAAATGTGTCTTTTTAGGCATCATGGGCAACAAAATAGACTAGACCAAAAAAAGAAAGATACTCTTTCATTTTTTTGACAATTGGTAAGATCCTAGAAGTAATAAATTTTGAGAGCCACTGCTATTGTGTCAGTCAATTGTTTTACCTTCAAAAAAGATTCCCGAGTTTTTCTGAATTGATTCTCACACTTACTGACTTCATCTCTGCTTACTTTTCACTGTCTCAAAATGTTACTCATCCATCAAGTTTTCTTGCCTACATTAATTTTTTTGTCATGGCAGCTTGCCTTTTCCACTCTCCCTTCTTCCACCTCCTTACCCACTGAATGCAAGGGCCCACATAGTATCTCTAATGGAGCAAAAGCACATGCGGTGTTACTGCTCTGTTACTGTCCTTCAGAGTGAGATTGTTAAGGACACAAAGGCACTGAAATCAAGCCTTGAGATGACACAGGAGAGGATAAAACTACAAAAACAGGTCATGGTTTGGTTTTCAATCAGATCAGCAAGACCAGAAAAAGATCTGAGCCTTTTTTTTTCCAGCACTGTCATTATGTTAGCTCTTGCTGAGTGTGATTTCTCAGGTGTTTTTATGCCAACTGCTGCCTGACTGATTTACCCCCATCAAGTACCTGTTGCTTTGGCTTCCCTTTTCTAAATATAGAATTTTACACTTACCTTTACTAAACTCTGTGTTCCCTAATCTTCTCAATTTGTTGTGTTTCAAATTGTTTTGCCATATTTCCTAGTAGTTTCAGCCCTCTATTCTGATCCCCAGACTTAAAAGTTAGACATTTATGATACAGTATATTAGTCTGCCCACCAGTGTTGAAAACAATATTGAACATGGCCAGGATTCACCACAAAAGGATATTGCTTTAATTGCCCTCCCAATTTTGCTGTCAACCAGTATATGCAGTGTGACCGTAAGCATACTATTGCAACCAAGTTCATAATATCCATGGAAACAAGTGGTTATTCCTGAAAGCATTGCTGCTGCTGACAGTGTTTCTGAAAAGAGTACCTTTTATTGCTGTTGTATGAATTTCTAAGAATATAAGCCTATTTTTAGTACTTTCATTTCTATAACCACATTTGTAGATTGCCATCTTTAAATAAATTTATGTCTCTTTAGTCACATAATTTCAAGCCCTCCCCAATGCTGTCACCCCTTGTATTTTCTGTCAGCGGCTTATTCAATACATAAGTTATCTTAAGGAGGATCACAGACTTCTTTAACATTATTTATATTTACTATTTCATTATCTTCAAAATGTTCCATGATCAGTTGCTTTGTCATTTCTGCTACTACATTTCTATGTCTCAAGGCGACTGTTGTATTCTGACTGTTCCTTCTCAAGTTTTTAAACACTGCTATTATGTATGTTCTCCTCCAGGAATCTGGTACCTTTCTGGTTGCTTACAGATAACTTGTAATTGCTCAAAGATGGCTTGCCACAGGACATTTTGAACCCATTAATTTCTTTCTAAATATTCTAAGTATTACTTCTAGCATTCCTATTTCTTTACAAAACTCTGCATGTCCACTTATGCCCAGGTAGAACCAACCAGCTTTAGAAGAATGAAACAAAAAGTCTTTTAATATTTTATTCTTTCCAACTGTTTCTTTTATTTTTACGTCTTATCTGCTTAGGTGATGGATCAATAAATTGGGTGGGGTTTTTCCAATTTTTAATTCAACTATAATTACAGAACCTTATTTTGCCTTTTCTTCCAGAACAGGTCCCTGGACAAATACTGAAATACGGTGTCTAAAGAGGCAAATGCCAATGGCAGTACAGGAGAGCTGGGTATAGCAATGTCTCACACATTCACACACACACATCACTCTTGACAACCCCACTATCTCAATAGAGGCATTTTCAAGAAAGACACAGACAAACCAGAAGGGTTCCAAGGGAGAACTACAAAGTTGAGAAGGCTCAGAGATAACCTCATCTCAATTTCCAGTACTTAAAGGGCAGCTACAAAGAGGATAAAGGCTTCCTATTCACATATGGAGAAGAAAACAGGCAGTGGGTTCAAGTTGCAACAGGAGAGGTTTGATCTTGATAAATGGAGTAAATTCTTTCCAGCATGGACAATCATTTGATGGAACAATGCCTCCAGGAACATGGTAAAATCCTCATCACTGGAGGTTTTCAAGATCAGATATCTAGATAGAATCTCCTCCAAACTCCCTTTCTCATGAAAGGTTGTACCATATGATTTTTCAATGTGTCTTCCAGCCTGGGCTGCTCTGTGATCCTGTCAAAAGCAGTGCCTCTGAGTGAATCTTGCCTGTTAACATCAGCCCATCATCTGAAATCCATCTTGATATTTTACATTCAGAGGGATGAAGAGTCTTAAGAATACTGATCCATATTCCCCTTCTTTCTCCTTCCTCTAGCTTTGATTTAGTTTGTGCTGAATTCATGGAAGTTCTCTGTCATTAGGCTTCTGTCATATATTTTTGCTAGTGATATTTTCTGTGAAGATGTTACCTGCTTTGAAACATTTTTGAACAAAAAAATAATCTACATACTAAATAATTATAAATAGTCTAGAAAGATAGAATTTGGCTAGAAAGAAAAGGGACATTTCCTTTCAGGTGACAGCTGGAACAGGGCTGTTGAGGTTTTTTTTTAAGTATGATTAGTCAACATCTTCCTCAGCAAATAGCCAAAGACCTCACCGTAAAACAAAAGGCCATTACTCATCACTGTCACTATAAATGCTGCTGCAATGATTCTTACAGTAATCCTAAGATGATTGGATTGTTTGATCTAGATTTCCAGTGTATAACATTCAGATGATCTGAGTCTGCCTTGCAAAATTCTTATTCTAACCATATTTCATTACTCTTCAGGCTTTACAGTACAAGTCATACTTCAACTTTTTTCCAAGTTTAGTTCCTCCTAAAAGTTCTTCAAATACTTTATCCATTTTCTTATTCTGATCTTCACTGAAAAGATTCTTCCAGTCACTTACACCACCTTCAAAGAAGAAAAGAAACTCTTGAAAACAAATAAATTTTATTTCTTTTTATATAGATCTGTCCTTTTTATTGCATTGTACACTAAATAGTGTTGATCCATTTTCCAGATTAAACATCTTTTCTACACCAATATATTTTTGTGAAATCAGTGGAGTTACATATATGTTAATAATCTTCTGCTATAATGAAAAATAATATATTCCTCTTCAGATGACTGTGTTCAAAAAGGCAGCCTGAAGTCCTGTTTCCCTACATCTCTCTCCTCTAGTCAGTTATGACTCACAAAGTGGAAGATCATGAAGACTTGATAAGGAATCATCTGCCAGGAAGCAGACCTGGGTTTCTGCCCCTTTGGAAGCTTGAGTTTTTAGCCTTTGTCTTGGGTTGCAATGCAAGCTGTAACCAGAAGTATGTATTCTATTACCAGCTGTTAAAACCAGGTGGGGCAGTGTTCTTTATCTCTTCCACAACCCACCCTCCCTCCAGGGCGATATCTTCTGTTAATGGGCCATTGAGTCTCACTGCATGACTGATAAATTCCATCATCCCATTGTCAGATGCTCCACCCAGGGGGAGGAGCCCAGCATTCCTACCTGGATATAATCTGAGACTCGGAACACCTTTCAGTCAGCCTTTCTCCACTGGATTTCCAGAGGAAGACTGGGCCCATGGATCCACCACCACTTTTTCAGAGGAAACCTACACCCTTCTACTGGATCACTGCTTCAACAGAACCACATCTGTCACTCCAGCAGCCACCATTTAATCAGACCACTACCAACAGCCTGACCAACAGGGTGTCAGGTTGTATTCTGACTCTGACAGTGGCTGGGTTTATTTTGTACTACTGAATTTTTATTTCTCTTTTCCTAGTAAAGAACTGTTATTCCTATTCCCATATCTTTGCCTGAGAGCACCTTGATTTCAAGATTAGAATAATTTGGAGCGCCAGGAGAGGTGGGGTTTACATTTTTCCATTTCTAGGGCGGTTCCTGCCTTCCTTAGCAGACACCTGTCTTTTCAAACCAAAACATCAAGTTACTTCTTCAATGTAAAGTGCAGAAATAGATTCTGACAACCAGGTTGCCCTTCTCATGTCTGTACATTGCAAAACTTGTTCCCTTTTGTTTCCTCTCTTGTGTGTAACTGGATTCTTTCTTGCTTGGCTTGGTTCTAATGTGTAAGAGTGAATAGGCATTTAGAAGTGTCCATTTCAGAAGATTCTTATACTCTTCTAAAAAATGTGGTCACACCACTCATGCTGACTTTGGCCCAGTGCTGCCTGCTCAGGTAAGCCTCTAATGGCTGGGCAATTGGTGATCCAGACACAGAGGTGGAGAGGAATTCAGACACATGACAGTTTGTCCTTCCTGCCAGCCATCTGTGAGCCTCTAAAAGTGGTCTGCTGTGAGAGCCTTACTGGGTATCTTCCTCACCAGTTCTCCTTGAGCAGTCTTCTCAAGCAAAGCAGTGATAACCTACTTGATACTAACTTGTAATGCTAATTTGAGAGCGAGAAAAAGAACTAAAGGATGTCAAATGTTCTTGAGAGTGTGACATTTCCACCTCTGAGTCACCTGAAGTTTCCTACCTTTTCGAAAGAAAATATTGCCCATTGACCCATGGGTCTTCTCTGAGTTTTTCTTCATAGACTGGAAGCTGCTCCTCTCTACCACAAGCTGGAGCTCTTCCTCAGTCAGAGGAATTCCAAAGAAAGCAGCTATGTTTTTCACAGACAGGGCACGATTCTGGAAAAAGGAATGTAACATATGACATGACTTTCAAACAAATTATGCTGCTTTCCAAGGTGTTTACACTTCCCTATATCTCTCTGCTGGCTGCATACATAGTATATTCATAGAGTTCACTAGGATTAGAGTGGTCTATGGTGTTTCTCTTCTCCATAATTATTTTGAAGGAGACATGAGCTGCCTTTCTGTGGATTATAAAATATTATATATGATTTACAAGTGACCAAAATCTACACTGCTGAAAACATAAAAGCTCCTCCCCAAAAAAATTACTGGAGATATTGATGTACAATTATTTGGGCTTATATCACAGATAAACAAAAAACAAGAATCATTTTCACAAGCAAAATTTCAAGAAGGTTTTTAAGTTTGAATTTCACCCTTTCTTCCCTTAAAACAAGAATCTATTTCATACACTTTAGATACCCTGCATGCATATAATGGTGAATTGGTTCGGGAAAAAATGTCCCTTGAAATATAAAGTATTTGTAACTATTGATAACCTTACCTCTTTTACCTCTTCATAGGTTACTGTCATAATATTTTCTTTGTCAATGTATTTGTTCCATTCAGAAAGGTATTCTAAGTAGCATCCCCAGCCCACTAAATAAAACAAAAGAATTCTAAGATTAAGCATAAATTAAGATTTTACAAGTTTTACTCATTAAGTTGTCTCAGACAAGGGCTTTATTAATCATGTCTGTGGAAGAGTTTACACACTTCTGTGGGAATTATAGGTTTTGCTTCAGGCTCAGGCATATGATACCATTTGTAAGTCAGAAAAATAAAACTTGTTAGTATTTCAAGACAGCTGTGAGTCCACCAAAAAGCTATCATCTTGCAGACCATTTTGTAAGACTCCCTTAATCCAGCCATGTGCTAATCCAAACTCATAACTTCAAACTAGAGCTATTACTTTTTTCTCTTTTTTAACACATTAGATTTAGTGCACTCTTTAATGTACTAGACTTAGTCCAAATAATTTCTTTCACCCAACTTTGCATGGAGGTGATTATATATCTCCATGGACACAAGATGATGGACATGGTTAGAGTAGGGGCAAAGGGTACCCAAGATAGATATAAGGAAGAACTGCTTCTTCCAGGAAAAATACCAGTTTATACAAGTTTAAAAAGTCTGTGGAAGCGTAGTTTTGTCCAATATATATCCTCAAGCAGTAAGGCAAGTATGGTAAACTTCAGATTTCTAATTCTCTGTCTTTAATCTCTGCTTTTGTACTGTAAACCAAAAAATCCTAGTGAAGCTGATATACCAAAGTACAAGGGTTTTTAGACAAAGATAAATCATTGGATAATTGACACAGAAAAATATACTGTACTTTTCTTTGTCGTGAAATCTGTGAAGAAATCATCCCAGGTCTCATAGGAGGGAAGACTAGCCATACTATTGGAAAAATGGTAAAAAGATGTAGCTACATCTTTTGGATTACGAATCAACAACAGTATCTAGAAAAAAAATAAATTAATTATTAATAGAGAAAGACATAGCAGACTATAGCATTATAAAATAAATAATAATAATATACCTTATAACTGCAGTTGGGGATTTCTAATACCTCGTGTGCTACTTGCAGAAGTAGCAATTTCATTTCCAGTTCAGAAGGTGCAGAATTTAACTTTACTTTAGTACCATGAGAAGATGGTTGCCTATAAATACTATATTTTACAGATTAACCAAATAATTTAAGCAGAATCAAAGTATGTTTTGCTCAATACAAGCATAGTTCATCATTTAAGTAGCAGGGAAAATTCACAAAAATGTAAATTCCCCCTTGAATTTGATGTATTGAAGCCCTCACTTGCAACAATGTCATAAAATTCCTCCCACAGGAAATCATGTCAAAATACATTTTGCCTCTGGAGGACTTGTTGAAGCCCTGAAACTCTCCTGTGGAAACTGTAACAAAGGTGCCAATAAGGGCAAATTGAGGTTACGTGAGATGAAGGGCAGTACTTAAACTGGCCAGGCTAAACACATATAAGAGAGTGTAAGAATCTAAAAATTGTCAAAAAAGTACTATATTGGCTTAAAAAAAAAACACCCAAGCAAACAAAAAACTGTTTAAGTGTTTGCTTTTCATACATTAAAATCAGCACTCACCTTGACTTTGTTTTTGAAGATAGACTTGGGGAGATTTTCAGGACGGAGATGAGTAACTATAAATCTCGGAGAAGGTAATTTGGTCATTCGCTTTAAGAATTGGAAGGAGGAAAGTGGATAGTAGAGTTAGCAAAAGTATTTTTTTTAATTAACCTATGCTAAAATATTGCCTTGATAAACTTATCAGCAATTACTGGTTGATAGAAGCAGTTTTTGGGGTTTTTTGTGAGTATTACCCTGGGATATTAGTGGGCTGCTCTGAGTAGCTCTAATCTTCAAAAGCCCATGAACAATTGGAAAGAGACTATCCACTGTTAGTTCTCTTCAGTGATAATTCTCTTCAGTTCTGTTAGACAAGGGATCAAATCTAGAGGTAGGGTAAAGATTAGTTATATGTGAAAGCTGAAGCATCTCAAGGACTGAGAGAGGGGATGAGGAGGAAGAGCTGGTAAAAGAGGCAAAAGCTAATATTTCATTATTTGATACTCCATGAATCTCTTTTTAAATACAAAAGATGCTATGTTGAATTTCTGAAGTTCTTATGTATCTCATGGGTATGTGTTCCTCTCATGCTCACTTGAGTGTTCATTCATCCCTCAGTATTTGACAGTCCAGGTGAGATTAATCCTGATCATATGCCAGATAAAGAGAAGTGGTAATGTTCTTCTCAAACAATGGAACAGTTAATACATTATATATTCAATATTTGAAGCACATAATTTTGATAATTTCCATACATATTCTGTTCCCACCTCATATTTCTCAGCATCTCCAACTTCAAGGTAGGGGAATTCTGCTAGTTCTTTGGCATTCGCACTGCCTTCCCTACCCGGTGTTTTTTTTTGAGATATGTCTATCAGGTCATTTAAGATTTGACTTAGCCAGTTTGTGCCTGAAAGAAGAAAAATACAGAATTTCTTGTAAAACTTTTAGAATGAACAGAAATGGATTTACCAGGGAAGTCAAGGGCTGGTAGTGCTACCAGCTGAGTTACTCTGCCTCCTTGCATGTGATACAATCACAGCTGACTATCTGGTCAATCACCTCCCAGGGTCCTCCTACTTTTGCTCCTCATAAGGACATATTTCTCCAACTCGAACACTTCAGTACACCATAAATTAACTTGTATACTGTAAACTAACTAATAAAGGAGAAGAAACACTACGATTCTATTAGGAAAGTCTGCATTAATGTAATAAATTTTATTGAGACAAATATAAGGGAGACTTGGGTGGTAAACCTGTACTTTAAAACCTAATGTATTATGCTGTATTATTTTAGGAAGAAAGATGGGTCACAGTACACAGGAGCACAACTGCATCTGAAAATTGTATATTCATTTCCTTTAACAACAGGAAAAAACTCAATGAACTGACATTTCCTATACACATTTATTATCTTTTTACTCAAAAGATAACAAAGAGCCTGCATCAATTGCCCATCTCTAATTTACCATTTTCTGACTTCTGGACCCTGACTGCTTACATCTTTCTCACTGCAGTCTTAACAACTGCATTCAAGTGCATAACATATCTTTGGAAAGAAAATACAATAAAGAATCAAAAACTTCACAATCCTGTCAGCTGTGACTATCTCCTGTAAGGCAGTGTGAACCAATTGCTGGAAGAGAGAAACAGCTAGAATAAAATGTATATGAGGCACACCTAATCCAAGCCTTTGGCTTTCATGTGGACCAGTGCTTTCAGGCACAAGGAGAAAATATGTAGCATAAACTTGAAACCCTGGCAGAGATCTCCTCTTGATTTCCCAATAATTAAAGAACAGTGTAATCACTTCAAGGACTACAAAAATACTTTTGATATCTATTTCCTGATATCTATGTGAAAGAAACTAAAGAATATTCAGCATCTGAAGGTACCAAAATCTCCATTCTGTGTAAAAACATAAAGATCTTAACTTTACAAACAAAAATGTGAGAGCAGATCATATAATATCAAGAGATCTAGTTATCTCTGGTGTAAAAAACTGTATTTTGATTCTCTCCAGTTTGTGCATTTAACGTCATAACTATGGAAAGTAAAGATAACAAAAACCTTTATATGCTGTAGAAAAGAAAATCAGATTGTTTTTCTCAGTCTTTAGGAAAATTCCCCATATAAAATATTCATAATTAATTTGTTGTGCTTTTTAAAAATGAAATCAGTTCTACAAAATTCTGTGAACATTCTAAACACTATTATTTATCATAATATATTATATTATGTATCATGTAATATATATTGCATATATTTAGTATCAACCTTGTTACTTGCTATTACAGAACTTTATTTATGAAAAAAATCAAAATATATTCACCGGATTTAGGGTATCCTGCCAAAATTACATCATCACTTCTGGCTTCAAAGGACTCCAAGGCTTTTAATGCTTCAGGACTGCAAAAAGTGGTAGGGTAGGGAATTCCCTTGTACTGAAAAAGCAGTTGATCACGAGGCAATGAGCTGGCAGCTACTGCTGCATTCTCTAGGAGATCAGTAAACACTTTCCTGGACTTGTCCATTCTTCTCTCTCCCACACACACAGGCTCTGTCACAGTGTGAAATGCTAAGTAGATGGAGAAGCCCACAGGTTGTCCTTTAATAGGTGCTTGGCTTGTTATTTGGGTTTTTTTTCTTGACCCCTTGAATAATAATTAACCCCCTTCTGAACCTGTGAAAAAATATGCAACGCCAGTTGAAGACCTTAAGATGAACCTTTGAAATCAATAGAAGTTGAACATAAACAAACAAGCAGCCAAATGCAATTACATTCTAGGATAATGGGCTTAGATAATTTCAGAATAAATAATCAGAAATTTCATGCCAAGTCTGCGATTACGACACTGAATTTATAAAAGAAATATAACAAAATAGAATTACATGAATTGCAGAGTGGAATTTAAATGTCATGATCAAAATCCTCAAGGCAGTTCATCTCTTTCCAGTACTCACTGATGGGATTTTTTTTTTTCTTTGTTATATCACTCATCATTCTCATCAAAGTTAGATAAAATGTAATGGGATTTGGAAAGAAAATGTTCAGTGCACTGGAGACTGAGCTGTGGACAGTCCTGTGAGTGTGGCTGACTGTTCCCTCCAGCTGGTGTCCAGGAGGGCATAGGGGCACATGCACTCATCAGACTGCACTACAGAGATTTGTTTTTCTGGTGGTTACATGAAAATTACTTATTTATACATTTCTTTAATGGGCTCAATCATTGTTTAACAATGGTTCAGTGCTTAGGGAGTTGATAATAATATATCCTCAGCTGCAGTGATTAGTAGTTTAGTAGTTTATCATGCACTTCAGATGATGAGCTGCTGACTGCACTGACCCAAGTAGAAGAGCTGGCTTAAGGCTCAGGTTCGATATTTAAGTCTCTGGCAAAAGGGCAAATGGGTCACAAAAACCGAGAAAATAGTTCCCCTCCAAAACCTCCAGGAATTTACATGCCACCCTTTCTTATCTATTTTTTGAATGCTGCCTGTTTGCACTGGAAGAAAGAGGACCAGCAACTACATACTTGCACACTTTTGACATTTGCATTCCCTGAGGGATTCAAGCCTGGTCCCTGAGGCGTAATGCAGTGCTCATGGGGTGATCTAGCCCTACATTTTTATGTTTATTTTTTCCAGTTCATACCAAATCTTTTGCTTATCCCTTCATCTCCCTTCTTTCTGTAAAAAACATAGAAAGGCTACCTATATGCAGGCATAATCTGAAACAAGTGGGTATCATATGGCCTGACCCATCCGATGAATGACATCTCTGCCAAAGGGCAGCCAGTTGGCACCACCTGCATCATCTCACTGACATCAGCTAAAAACTGCTGTCCTATGAAATAGCACTTTTGGTGATTCTTGGTGAGAAACTAGCCACCCTAGCAAAACAAAAGGCAATTGAATTCGTTTTTCTTCCTTATTTTCCCTTGGCACTAAACTGTCATGGACTGAAGGTAAGAAAACATGTTTAATTGGTATTTTTGCCTGCTGGTGAAAAAATTAGTTGGGACAGTCCTCCCTAAAGGTGGGAAAAGAGAAAAAATGGCCTGTAAATTATTAGTGTATTTCATGCAATAGCATACTGTTGGAGTAGGGTTTCCAAAATTAAAAAAATATATTCCAGAGAAAATTCCAGAGGATTTCCAGTGTATTTTTGCAAGAAAGGGCAGTAAGGCAAATTATTCCTGTGAAGCATTGATTTATCCTTATGAACCTGAAAAGAAAGCCTGTTATCAAAGCCTTCAAACAGAGCCCAAAGTGGTACTGTAATACATTGCATAAATAAAGTCATGCTAAAGTTATAATCTTGTCTGATAAGAATCCTAGCATATTTCCAGGAAACCTTCTCTGATGAGATTATAGTGATATGCAGCAAGACCAACATGAACATGCGTCTGTAAGGAGCATATTTCCAAGAAACCTCCGTCTGATACGATTATAACTCATGAATATTCATCTGCAAGAAGTGTATTTCCAAGAAACCCGACAAGATTACAACATATGCACCCAAAACATCATGAATATTTGTCTGCAAGAAGTGTATTCCAAGAGATCCCCGAAAAGCCTGAAAACATATAAAAAGCACCTTGAGACAGTCGCAGTTCGTGAAGCATGGTGAAGCAGTGCTAGCAAGCCCCGTCCTACCCGATGCTGTTCGCCCGGTACAGTGTCAAACTGATTTTTGCTTGTGGCTTTTTACAATTGTATTTTTTCAACAAATTCTTTTTATTAATCAAATTAGCTACTCATTTATAATAGTAGGATTCTTTGGTTTTGCAGCAAAAGCCGTCTGCACACCCACAAAGGAGCACAGCAAAGAAATGAAGGAGTACCTTGCCCAGATACTCCTTTGAAATCAGCTCGTCAAAGGCCTGTCTCCACAAGCTCAGAGGAGCTCATGCAGAGAGGAACGCAAGTTAAAGACTCTTAAAAATGAACTGGACCCTGTCCAAGAGCCTTCTATGGCTGTTCCAGGAAAGTTTCAGACCCAGTGTCCTGGTGTGAAGATGACCCATCAAAATGATCAGTGCAGGAGAATGTTTTGAAGACTGGCAGGTGCTGCTGTCTGGGGTTATAGGCACATGAAGAAATGCAGAGGAACAGCCTTTCATGGTTGCACATGACTTATTATGTCAGGATTACAGCAACAACTTCCACTAAACAAATTATGTACCAGTCTGCATGATACTACTAATGTTGACTTTACAATATAGAAAGTACTGAAACAGAGATGAAAAATAACTAATCCTCAGTACAAGATCAGGGTTGATTTTCCTAACTCCTCTAAAAAACTCTTTAGGCCAGAGAACTAAGCCATTTGTAAAATTTTCTAGGATCCTCCTCCATCTTTTCTTTCCCTCTTAAATAGTAGAGCCTTTTTCACGATGGTCACCTTCCCTGACCAGATCGAAGCTTGTCACAACATCAGATTAGTCCAATATAGATTGTGCATAGAAGCATATCCCTGCTCTGTCTTTCTTCTACCCAAAATTTCCCACATCTCTCTTAAACTTTCCTCTCAACAGCTTTTTTATGGGCTCAGCTTTGCTCCCTCTAGAAAGGTTCCATTTTTGTAATCCCCTCTATGTAACAAGGTAGGAAATAAGAAATTTTCCACAACTTTCATCATCTCTATAAATGTATTGGCTAGTTGCCAAAGTTGCAATGGCTAGCTCTCCCACCTGTTAATACTAAACAAAATAATATGAAAGAACAAGCCAGTAAATGCAGAGAATGTCTTGACACACAATGCTGGAGAAATAATTTTATACTAATCTAAAGATGTCAGATGTATGTTAACAAACTCCCCAAACCATCATCTGGTGTCAGTGGGTACAGAGTTAATTTTCTTCCCAGTAGCTGGTAGAGTGCTGTGTTTTGGATTCAGAATGAGAATAATGTTGATAAGACACAGATGTTTTAGTTGTTGCTGTTAGTGCTTATCCCAAGTCGAGGACTTTTCAGTTTGCCATGCTCAGCCAGCCAGCAGGTGCAGAAGGAGCTGAGAGGAAGCACAGCCAGGACAGCTGACCCAAAGTGGCCTAAGGGATATTCCATACCTCATAGGGTGTCATGCCCAGTAAATGAACTGGGGACAGCTGCTGAGGAGAGGCCGATCACTGGTCAGAGATGGAATGGGCATTGGTCAGTGGGTGGTGAGAAATTGTGCTGTGCAGCACTTCTTTCTCATAGGCTTTATTCTCTTTTTATTTTCAGAATAATTACTAGTTATTATGAATAATATTATTCTGTTTTTATTTAAATTATTTAAATTATTAAATTGCTCTTTTCTCAACACAAAAGTTTAACCTCTGATTCTCCTCCCCATGCCACCAGTGAAAGGGAAAGGTGAGGAACTGAATGAGAGTTGCGTGATACTTAGTTGCTGGCTGGGGCTTAACCCTGACACACCAGAAGAACTGTATTTCCTTGCTTGTTTTATCTGAACTTTCCAAACCACATTGGTAAAATCGATTTTAAAAGTTGAAAGTCTCTGGCTAGAACATCATTAATAAATGTGAGGAGCCAAGACAGTGATGTCAAGAAATCATCTGTTACCTCATTGTATATCTATACAACTTGACATTAAAAGAGGAAGGGGAGGAAGGAGCAAAGAAGAATGTGATAAAAAACTCACTGATGTTATGGAAGACTTTCTGATTAACCTTGTTAAGGTCCTGTTAACCTTTGAACCTATCATTAATCCCATTCTGGTCCATGCCCCTCAAATAATCAAAACTCTGGAGCCTTTAGTACCAGAAGTAATTATATCATTCAAAGTGTGATGTAATACAAATGAGGCTGAATATAAAATGCAAATGTAAAGTAGGCCAAATTAAGCTGATTAAAGAGGCATTTGAAACAGGTCATCCAGATGCATTAAAATAATTAGTCCTGTCGTATTCTTTGCAAAGTGATAAAGGCATCTTAATTTTCAGTATATGAATTTGAATGCACTAATCAGGATTAACAATGCAACTTTTTCAGTGGAGCACATGAGACATCAGTGGGTATATTCTTGCAGCTTGGGTCTTAAGCATAAGGTGAAAACTAAGTATGCTCACAGAGAGAAGATAATTTAATTCCTTTTCTGAAGACATTATTCGCACTGGGTTTTTTTCCACTTGAATTATCAAAGACATCTTGTTTTATTCAAATATAATGGTATTATGACCAGAAAATCCTGCAAAAAGAACTACTAAGAGTTTTTCTCTGATTTTTCTCAACACATGTTTCTCAGTGGCTTTTACTGAGTTCCAGTCATGGCACTGTTAAATAATCCTTTAATAAGTTTAAAGAATAATTGACAGCTAATGGCCTGCGGGCTAATTCAAATACTAGTTGCTTAGCTACCTGGAAGACATGGGCATGACCAATAACAACCTGTGATCTTGGCCCGTGATCTACCAATTCCTTCACCTTCTGCTGGCCTCTGAAGTACCAAGGGATCCAACTGAGCTCCTCATGGTGTGTAGAGAAAGACAAGCTGGAAGCAAAGCTGGGAGAAGGATAGAGCTTG